GCCTGCAAAGCGTACCGAAGCTGACGTTCCCCGGCGGCTGCCTGGCGTCTGCAGCGCCGAGCTTCATGAACGTGCCCAATCAAGGGCACCACAACGCCATGAAGAGCGCCATGATCGCTGCGGAGAGCGTGTTCGACGCCATCCAGGCGGGCGACACGGAGACCGAAGTGAGCCGACGGCGCCGCCGCAGGCGAGTTTGGGAGTAGATTGCGGATCGTGAATCGCAGGCGATATCGAACGGGCTTTGAGCGTGCAGTTTGCGTTGGCAGCGCACGCTCGCTCATGAAGACACCCGCTCACGGCCTGTGAGAAGGTGACCCGGGTCATCCACGCCTAACCTAACCTAACCTAACCTGTTGTCAATGGTTACTGAGGCCTGTTGTACCCTCCCCATTCCCGCACATGTCACGCAACTCTTCACCTGCAGTGGGTCACGCGGCGTCGCAGCGCCGTCCGCCCTCTGACCTGGCGCCACTGTGTGTGCGGCAGGTGTGAACCCGGTCAGTTACGAAGAGCGAATCCGCAGTTCACGGGTCTGGCAGGAGCTGGTGTCGGTCCGCAACGTCAGGCCCTCGTTCCACTCACCGCTCGGCCTGTACGGCGGCCTGGCGTACACTGGACTCTTCTACGTCCTCGGCCGCGGCAAGGAACCGTGGACGCTCAAACACCCCGGTAGGTGGCGCCTGTACGTGGATGGATGGGTGAGTGCCGGGCTGACACGGTATTTTCTGTTAATGAGGCGTATTGGCCAGCCGGCGGTGCGAGAATCACGGGCCGTGCGGCCAGAGCTATCGGTGCTGCCACCGGGAGGGCCCGGCCGGCGGCGCTCTGTCCGCAGCGCCGATCATCGGGCCGCGGAGGGTGTGGGCGGGTTCGGCCTCGCGCTGCGGCACCCCTCCGGCTGACTCCACCCTGGGCTGCGCAGGCGCCGACTACGCCTTGCTGAAGCCGGCGCAGGAGTGCCAGCAGATCGAGTACCCGAAGCCGGACGGCAAGCTCAGCTTCGATCTGCTCGGCTCGGTGGCTCTGACAGGTGAGGACAGCATGGCCGCCGTATTGGCCCACGCCTTCCCCCTCCCAGCTCTGGTCAAGGCGGTCGGGTTTTACCTGTGGCCCGTCCCGTAACGTGACACGACGTGACGTGACGCGACGCCGCCGGTCGCCAGGCACCAACCACGAGGGTGACCAGCCGCCGCACCTGACGCTGCGAGACGACGCGGTGCCGGTGAAGCAGAACCTGAGCGTGTTCGACGGCCCCGAGGGCCGCTTCTGCCCGGCAGGTGAGATCAGGGGTGAGCCGTCCCCGCGCTCCAGCGCCGGCCGGTCGACTCATGTAGCGTTGCCGTCCTTGTTTTGTCACATTTGATAGTGGTTTTGTGGTGCCGTTACCCTATGAGCCCAGAGCAGCACGAGAACAAAATCAGCCAATATCCCAGTCCTTCCCGTTCGGCCACAGAAATCGAATAGCGGTGCGCTTTGCGCGTGCAGCCGGCGTGCGGGCGTGGCCTGCTGCGCCACTCGCGCTGAGACCGGGCCGCCTTCGCCTTCGCAGGCGTGTACGAGTACGTGCCGACCGAGGACGAGCAGGGCCAGCGGCTCCAGATCAACGCCCAGAACTGCATCCACTGCAAGACGTGCGACATCAAAGACCCCAGCCAGAACATCAACTGGGTGACGCCCGAGGGCGGCGGCGGCCCCTCCTACAACGGCATGTGAGCGGCCGTGGCCGCCGGCAGTGCGCGAGGATAGGGCGCGGCTCGGCGCCACCCCTCCATGGCTGGTCTCAAGACGTCCTCGTGTGACGAGGTCGACGGCAGCACCACCGGTCGGGGGCTGTTCGTCTGCGTGAGGAGCAGAGAGCCACCGAGATTTGCGCGTGGGTGCGCCCGCAACAGTTCAAAACGGCCCGAGTATCGCTCACCGTGGGCTGCGTTGTTTACAAGGGCCTGGTAATGGGGGGACCGATACGACCAGTTGTTGCAGATGAGTAACGTCTCCTGAAGATACGATTTCATTTGCTTTCCAATCCAGTATTGGCTTCCAGAGCGCAGGACCTCAGTTCAGTCAAACGATTCTCGTCACTCTGCCAGTCGTAGCGGCCCCAGTCCATAAGTGATAGAGACACGTCCTCGGCGTTTAACTGCTGGTCCAGCTGTGTCCCGGCTGCGCCATCTCTCTGCCCGGTACTTTGTCGTAGACTCGTGCCTGGGGTGGGTGTCCCGCGCGCGACCATCGCCGGGTCGCCGTGGACCGACAAGGCGGTGCAATGCATGTTATGGGACGCTTGGTGGGTGCTTGGTCGTTAGTGGTCCTGTGATAACGAATGGTGTGTTACCAGACAAATATAATGAGACATGGTGCTGGAGCGTTCCGTTTTGCTGGGCGCGTTTCACTTCAGTCTAGCTTTTCAAAAGGAGAGTCTAGAGCACCTGAAATGTCGCTATCATCTTCCATAAAAATGAGCATGATAACAGGCGCCAAGGCGACGAAACAATCACGAGTGGTCACATGACTGTAGACGACTCGACGTCCGCTGGGCAACAGGTCTACAGTCAAAAGGGGCAGCATACAGTACATGTTCCTCACGTATTCATCTGTCACCTGGCTAATGAGCGCGGTCGACGCGACTCTCGCACACCTCCCATCCAAAGTCAGCGCACATGAAGCCGGACAGACGGCGGACTAGTTGAACCAGGTGGGCACACCGGGCCTGTCTTTGAAGCGTTCCTGGTCCTTCTTGTACGTATCCCTCGCAAGCTCGATCTCCTTCATCTGGTCCGACAGCTCCTTCTGCTTCTCCTCGGGCAGCAGATTCGGAAACTCAAATACCATGTCCTTTGGCTGAAAACAGCACATACGGTGTACAACCGCTAAGAAATCTGACAACTACCACCACCCCTGGGCTTATCTCAAACCACGCCAGCTTTCCAGCACATCTGTCCGAAGTGGCATGAAAACGTGGACAATACATGGGGAACACGCACAAAACACAATATGGAATGTCAATTAAAAGCAAAACTTCCCACAATATGCATATCTATACAGTGTGAGACACTTGTACACCAGATCTGTTCTGACCAGCCAAGCGCAAGCTCTGCATATGCAAAACACAGACATCACATTAATGTTTCACCTCTTGTGTGCAATGGTACCTCATAATGTGCTTTATTATGCAGTTTAACACATGCCATATTACATTCAGACCGATCATTAACACAATCATGAACAGCTTGAATTACTCCGATAGAAAATGACATTTTTTGCTTTGGTATAATCACCCTAGAACAGAACCAGGCTGACCAGCTGTCATCCAATGGATTGATGACTGCTGGTACTACTCACCAAGGTGACAAAGGCATATTTAATGTCATCATCCTTGACTATGTATCCCTTTCCCTCCAATTTGCGAAATTGACCTGGGGAAAACGATGCCAAATTAGAAACATCACAAACAACATTGGTGTTCCTGCATCACACAATTCACTTTAACACTGCATGAAGGAACCTGACATGCATAAATCAGCTGACAGCTATGATAAATTTCATGAATGGCAGAAGATAATGAAAGCATCTGACACCAAGTTTATAACAGTTTTCAGTGCTCCTTAACCATTGGTTCAATGCAGGAGTGCTAATGATGGGAAATCATCAGCCACTTAACTTCAGCTACCACTTTCCATACCTAGTCTGTTAGAGATGCTGACTTGGACCACAGGTACATTGTATATCTTCTCCAGGTATTGCTTGACATCAAGTTTGGTCATCTCAGGTGACACAATGAACTGAACAGCATTTGATGGGATTTTGTGCTTTGGACGTATCAACTTCATCCAGAAGTTTGGAAGGAATATCCGCAATTGCGGATTACCTCGCTGGTACAGTGGATACAGACGAGTAGACATTTTCTGAAAAGGACAAGGTCTTCCTGAACATACTTCTCAGCACATGTGACAGAAACTTCATGCTCATATGTATGCCTGCAGGAGGCTACCTTAACCCCATTGACAGCTGTAGCCTGAGGAAACTAAAGTCACATGGCCAATACTGTCACCAATACTGTATCATGTCCTGGGCACAGCAATACCAAGGAAGCATGGTCACAGCGACCAGCCTCTCTCACACACAGGGCACAGAACGCGGTCAAAGAACAGTTGCACCCATGGCTGAAATGGCTGCACACTGCTGTGGTACCTGAATGGGGTTTTGGTACTTATTGGACACATTGTTTGGTGGCAGTGACTAGCAACACATGCACAAGCGATCTCCCCACAGAGAGGCAGACGCAAAGTCGCGCAGGAAGCGGTGGCTGAGGCGGTATGGTGGGCAACCAGCTCAATAGCCATGACTTCTTGTGGCGCCTGTCTAGGGCAGACATGGGCAGACAGTTGAGTGTGCCGAGGCCGTGCTGCCAACCGGCGGCGGCCAAGTTCAGTGGTCATGCCCATGTCTGGTTTCCGCCACTGGGGCCGACCAGGTTCCCTGTCCAGGCAGCAAAAAACCTCTGTAGCTCGAGCAGTCTTCACCAACACCTTCATTGTGACTGGCCCTGAGGTGGCTGATGACTGAAGGTTTCTCCCAGAAACCTTCTTCCACTGCTCTTGTAGAAAACATGCCATGTCTGTGATATTTTAAATGCACAAGCAGTGCTGGCTGCAGCGATGACTGACGCAACTCAACTATCTGCTGATGAACAATGTCCTTGCAGTGCAGGCCAGTGCACCCAAAGTGCTGCTCAGTCACTCACAGCCACATCCTCCTGCAGAATTACCATCTCAAGCTGCACTGGCACCCCAAACAGTGTCAGTGCAACAGTGCTGGCTGTTCCATCTTAGTGTTTTTGTTCAAAGTGATCATGACAAAAGCACAAAGAGGTGCTGGTAATACTGTGACATCACCAGACAGGCGTGCAGCATGCAGCAGTGGCATGTGAAGCCTCCCCTGTGGTTTGCACACCAGCTGTCTCTTCAGATGGGACATCAAACATCCACACAAGCTGTTCAAGGTCTCCTTGAACCTGAACTGAGTGGCCAGGAGCTGTTCTGCACTGCACAGTGCCTTGATATCATTTTTCATTAAGTGTGCTTAACTTATTCTACATCTTGTGACACGCCTGCTCAAACAATGACATGATGAATAATCCGAGCAAGACCTTCCTATTCTTCAGGAAATGTAACCAATTACCAGGTAATAGATACACATTCTGTCTAAAATCATGTGCCAAGTGATGTGATAAAATGCAGAGTAGGTTCCACCCCTCCTAAAATTATGAGCACCAAATTTTCTTTTAAACTAGCAATACAATGTCATAATGTATGCTCTGCTTCTAAAATAAAATGCCTGTATGCATGGAAAAGGCATTTACAGGCAGGTAAACCATGAAAAATTGCCACACTTAATCAGCCACCTTTCCTATGCTAAGATGTCCTTCATAGGGTATACCCTTGAAAGGGCAACCAAAATGCTAGCCTTGAAGTCATGATGAGCACAATTTGGTGTGTCAGCATTGTGCAATCTGAGTTCAAACCCATCACATCATTGTTCTCTGATTGTTTGAATTGCTACATGTGCAAGGTATGATGATATATTTTTGTTGTCCTCTGATTATGAAGTGTTTTCTGCTCTAAGGAACACAATCCATGCACGGCATGCTTGCATAGCTTGTAAAGCAGCGTGAATCTTTTCATTTTTACACATATCCTGAAAATCCTATAAAGAAAAATTGTTTGAAAAGTTAGTGGAATGAAGCCTGGCTTAACTTCCACGCACACGCACGCGAGGTTCAGCGCAATGATGTCGCGGAGGCGTCCGGCGCCGCCGATACCGCCCTTTGGCACGCTGGCACCACTGAGGCCCCCTCTCCTGAAAACCCACCTGTGGAGTTCCCAGCAGTGTTAAATTTGTGACCTCACGGTCATGCGAATTATAAGTGTTGCCCACTACGGCCTGCGTGAATATATTATTCAATGCTTTGACGCAACGTTCCCAGGCCCATCCCACATCCAAACAAAGTCCAAGGGAATACTTTTTCTCGTGCTATACTGTAATGGTCACTTTGGTCGCAAGCCTTTCAGCATAAACGGCGCATAAGAGACATTTATTGTACTTTTCTTCTTCCATAGTACACCCCGTGCGCGGACCGGGGGCGCTAGACTGCATGCCACGTCGCGATGCTCGGCGAATGCATAGATGCAGCCAAGTCAGGGGCATGGCTTTGTAAAACGAGTTTGAGCGGGGGGTTGAAGGAACTGGCGGTTAACGTGAAGCTACCTACCCACAAACCACGCCAACAAATGAGCTTGCCTCAGAATTTGGTTCTTTTTTTTTGGTTTCCCGACCATTATTGGGGCGCTAAGGAGCGCCTGTCTGGTTAGAGTCGGAAATTACAGGTTTATCCACGACTGAATACTGCGAACCAGTCCAGAATTAGCCTTCCGTTATCAGTGGTGTATCGTCCGTGAACCTTTCTGCGCTTCTAATGCGCAAAAAGGCCCACGAAAAGTCAAGAATCGGTCCACCGCCTGGACTTTACAAGAATGCACGGGAAGTTCACGATCGGTTCACCGTCTCGTTTCAAAGCCTGCTTTGTAGCATCCGTCCCCATGCCCATGTAAAATGCTTTGTCACGAAAATAATCCCAACGGGCAGAGAAAATCCGTGGACAAAACCAAAAACCCGGTAAATCGCGATCCGTAGTGTATTGATGACAATGGGTAGAGAAAGTAGTGCCGGCTGGTACACCGTCGCAGCACCGCATGGGCAGATCTTGGTGCTCCGAACACACCAAGGTCCGCCCTTCGTCATCGAGGACCACGAGAGGCTGTGGCGGCTGGCTGCTGGGCACCACGGGTCGGAGATGGCAGCAACGCACCCCCATCACGACTCGACAAGCCGTCACGACCTAGGCGGAGCCGGACGGGTTCGGCCGCCTGACAGCTACACCGCCACAGAATACACCAATCCCCACTACGGCGGCGGCGCTTGGAGGAGAAAAGAGCTTTAATCCGATCAAAGCTGAGGAATCACTGGCTGCGACGGACCCGGTGTCAGGCATCGCCAATGAGCGATATCCTCGAACCCGGCGGCGCCCACGGCCCGCACCGGCCGCGCGCCACCACGCGGCCACTACGTG